TACACGAAAAACGGCAGCGTGGCGACTCTCATTCTTCTCTCTGTTACGACTTTCGTATTGGTTAGGTTAGGTTAGGTTAGATTCAGCGAACATCCGTCTACTTGTCATAATGCCAATTGCTCCAACATATTTTATAAATATTTGTATGCAAACGCAATACACTGATAAGCATCGATTATCGTCGAGAAAGTGAAATTATGTTAAGCATCATCACATTATGCCGCAAAAATTAATGAATTCAATGTTCGACGAACAAAAAAATGCTAGGTAATTTTTGGATTTCTCTGCCAATTTAATTCTTTTGTAATAACATTACGAACAAATATAATATTTACAGAATTATAATATGTATAATAATTTATTTGTATAAATCGTCAATGTAATCAATAGTTTCAACAGTCTTTATGAAGTATCTATTTTTTTATCAATCTTATATAAATATTTTGTTAAATTAAGTGTAATATATGATGGAAAATTTATCGATAACAAGATAAATTTTCAGGCAACTGATCTATCAACGTGGAAGGGAAGGTTTTCCATCATATGTATTTTTACACTCGGATGACGAATGTAGTACAGATGAGGAGAATATCTCTTTACAAGTTATCAAACGATCTACATCACCATGTCGCAAAATCGAGGTGATCAATATACAAATAAAACCTGAAGATACCTTGCAGGCGTTGGCTCTTCGATATAGATGTACAGTATGTAGAAAATTTTGTCTATAAAAATATAGTATAAAAATATTCATAACTTTGTGTTAATTTTTTTATACTGTTGCATGATTTTAGATCTCTGAACTAAAACGGATTAATAAAATTGACAAAGAGAATGAGATATATGCAAAGCCTTATATTAAGGTTCCTGTACAACCATTTTCTATTTTAACTGAGACATTACCTGAAAATCAAGATAAGAATATTATCATTACATCTACACAAAGTCAAGAAAAATTACTTATAAAAAAGGAAGAGCAGCTTATAGACTTTGGCACTATATCGACCACAGAATCCTCAAACATAGAAATCAATGCTATTATATTAAATTCGGTATGTGAACCTTTATCATCTTATAGTGCCAATTCCTCTGAAGTTCTACACACAGAACATGATCAATTACTTAATGATATGGACAGTACCAAAATAGCAAAATCTTGTGAAACAGATATATTTAAATGTTCTGGAGACAATTGGGGATTGTCTTGGATGCAACTTCTTGTATTTTCATTACTGTTGAGTTTTGCAGGACCTATTATATATATACTTTATATAGCTGAATATTCAGCAAAAGCAAATATGACTACAAGTAATTGATATTTTGTATAAAAAAATATGTATAGATATAATAAGTATAAAAATAGAAGAGAATATATATTTTCTATGCAGATATAATTTCTGTAAATTTTGGAACTAAACACTCGATGTTTTGATTATCACACAGATATAATAATTTAATATATGCATTATAAATTTAGAAACATCTCTGCATTAAGATTTTATTAGTGCAGCTAGAATTGTATATATAATTGTATATATTTTTATATTTAAAAATATACTTTCTCTTATTCTATTTTATATCATAACAGAAATAGTTTAGTCTCAGAATAGTATTTTTTATACTGAGTGAGATTTTTTTATTGAAGATATAACTTATAAAATGTGAACGCATGCGAGACCTTTTTTATAAAAATTGTGTATACGAAGTCTTTATATTTGAACCATGTATATTAGATATAAATCTATATCAGAGATATAAATATTACTATCAATAGACTTAGATAACAGATTCTAATATAATTTAACGAAATAACTAAATTATTATTTTTTACCTAAGAAAAATTATTAACTTGTTATGCTATATCAAGCATAATTGTGATAAACTTTTGACACAATAGTTAATTTAATAAAATTGATTAAATCCTACTTATGATAGAAAATAACATAGGAAATAAGATCTATATAAGTCTATATATATATAAAGCATTCACTGATACCTTTGTAATTTTGAATCATTATTGTTAATCTAAAGTACTATGAAATGGATTTTTCATATTTCTAATGTGATTAAAAATACTCAAATTATTTGATGGTGCTTATTATAATTAATTTAAAAAATAGCATAATAATATATTAAATATATATTACTATATACATTTATACGTGGAATCAATTTTGCTATTTATATTAAGTTAATATCATTTCTGTATCATTTTAATTTTAATACAAATTGCCTTTCCTTAAAACTTAATTTACTATTATAATGCTATTATTATAATAATGACAATAATATTTGCCAAATATATATGAAATTTATCATTTTTGTATATTAAATGCTTATGTGTTCATGATTGCTAAATATATTTTTAAAAATTAGATGGTATATCATTATTTCAGATTATTCATAATTTTTTTAATCGATTATATTTATACTACATTTGTGGCATTATTTGATTAATTTCAAGCATAATTATTAGAAAAAGTAACTACTTTGATTATTGAAATTCTTATAATTGGAATTTATAATTATATTACTTATATAACTGATAATCTCTATAAATATATAAATTCTTTTACTTAAAAAAATATATAAACAGACAAGAATTTAACAGAACATATATCTATTTAAAAAAAATATTTA